ATACGCACATCTGGAACAGACCCCAGCTGTTCCTCCTCCTCACTCATCTCTGACTCCAAAGGCCTGTCTGGCTGGGAAATGCCAGACGGCCCTGGCTCTATCTCTGTGTCCAATGCTGAGCATCCATCCGTGCCTTCCCCAGGCTCCAGAACTGAACCAAGTTCTTCCCCAACCTCTTCATTGTCCAATTTATGCTAGTTGCAGGGTCACAGTGTCAGGTGATAACCTTTTATGACCTCCTGACAAGCAAAGTCAATGGAAAAGCCAGATTCATTTAACATCTGTGTTGCTAATGTAACAACTGCAGGGATTCACTTAACAACTGTAGCAAGAAAGATTGTAAAATGGGGCAAACTCACTTGTCTTGCTTCGCAATGGAAATTTTGGGCTCAATTGTAGTCATACGTTGAGGATTACCTATACACAATATGATGCTTTTGTGTCAAGACAAGATTGAAATCATATCATTGTCAGAACACTCAAGTAGTATTGTTTGTTTTCCTACATTTGCTCCACTGTTTCCAATTCTGACACAGATGTATGCTCTGGAATGATCAGTTATTTAAATTTCTAATCTACCAGTGGTCTCGCGTCCTTAGAAAAGGCAGAAGTAATGTCCTACTAATAAAATAGGAAATTTTTAAAAATGCTTCTTTGAAAATTAACAGCGGTACTAATAAAGGAGAATATTTGTAGCTCAGAGTTGAAATGAACAGTGGGGATTGGAAGACCTAGTACCTTCATCAGAGATTAGGAACAGTGTATCAAAAAAAGATCTTTCAAATTGCACTTTCTGAATGAAGTCTATCCTCATTGCATTCTAAAACTTCCAATTTCCTATCACTCTTAGCCAGGCATGGTTGCCACAATATAGGATCAATGTTCCAATAAGAGTTCATGGATGGCCATATTAGTCAACCTGCCAATAAAGCAATTAATGGGCTTATCCTAAATATTTAAGAAACAGTGCCAACACTTGATTTCTGAATTAAAAGAGGGGCCTGGCAAACAACACAAAACGTGTCTCTCTTTTTCAAAAGGATCTGCTGTTTTTAAGTGTGATTTATATTTGATTGTGATCTTTTCTTCGGGCCAATTCTTTCTAACACAACAGTATCTCTGGTTGCCTTCAACTGAACAGTCTCCCCCTCTAAATTCACGTTAAACACCTGCTGACTCTGACTCATATAGCCTTCATACAGACTCACCCAGTTTTTTTTGACAGAAAACCTACTCAGGTTAACAACATTCTGCTAATATCCTTCTAAAGCCATGTAATAACATGCCTTGCACCCATTGCCCAACATCATTCATTTTACCCCCACCACTTGCCTGACATGTCAGGACCTTATGATTTATACAGAAGTCTGGCTAGAGAAGCCCAAGGGCCTTCTTCACCACACTTCTCCTATGCTGATGTTCTGGTGCAACTGCATGAAGCATGAGACCGCAGAGAATAAGGCTCTTACTGTCTTCTGGATCATATGGACATTGATTAATCATCAGCTGGTACAGATGAACATTGTCACATTGTAGGAATGATACTCACAAAGGCTAGAGTCAACTTTATTTTCTGCACTGAAAGAAAAATCAAATTGTTGTGGAAATTTAGAAAAGAGCAAGCATTTCAGGCACCTCACATGACAGAATGTGCTTTGCTTCACTGTTGCTGATAATCTACTGGGGAATTTCACACCATCTGTTAAGTAATTTTTGCTACATTCTATGAAAAAAATAATCTTCTATTTGAGATAGATTCACATAGATATTCTAATAAGTCTGTCCAATATTTCATACACAAAAACTTGCAACCTGTAGTCCTTATGTTATTTTTCCAAAAAACCTTTCCCTTTACTACTTTTAAAAACAAAAACAAAACTTTTACTACCAACTTGCCTTCCATCGAGGACCTGTATACTGCACGAGTCAAAGAGGGCTGTGAAATTATTTACAGATCCCTCACATCCTGGGTATAAACTGTTTCAACTCCTACCCTCAAAACGACACCATAGAGCACTGCACAACAGAATTAGACACAAGGATAGTTTTTACCAAACGCCATCATTCAGCTAAGCTAATAATTCCCTCAACACTGTCCAATTATTTACAAAGTCTGCACTACTATTACTATTAATCTTCTCATAACTCTTTATCACCCATCCCCTCCCACTTGTGACTGTAACTTTCTCGCTTGTATGCTTACAATTTATATTGACTGTTTCCTAGTATTTGATTACTTATTGTACCCTATGACTATTATTATTGTACCTTATGATTCTTGACTCTTTGACGAATTTATCTTTTCTTTTATGTACACTGAGAGCATTTGCATCAAGACAAATTCCTTGTGTGTCCAATCACACTTGGCCAATAAAGAATTCTATTCTATTCTAACTATTCTATAATTGTTCTTTAAGTTAATCAAGATGTACTGTTGAAATACAGTATGTGTCAACAATTAATACTACCCCTTTTACTAGTAAGTTACTGCTGAGGGGGAGGTGGATACTGCATCCGTTTTTGGTTTTTTTAAAAAAATCAAGTTGAGATATTTCTCATAGACTTAGTGATGTTCTCTGATCATATGAAGTTGAGAAAATGACTGCAAGTACATTATGAAGACCATGCTACACACAGAAGGGGTTCCAGACTACGTCTTGCTATGTATCAAGCACTAAAATAATCCCAATGTATTCCTACCCATGGTTGGCCCTATAGGAAGACAGCCATGTTTGTCTGTATTAGCAAAAAAAAAAAAGAATTTGTAATAATATGTGTTAATTGGAAAAAGTGCTATCAGATTCCTGATTATTGATTATCCAGGATCAGCATTCTAAGGCAGATTTCCAGAAGCTCCTTTTGAATATCCCCATTTCACTGTGAATAGTTTTGTCTGGGAAAATGAATTGCACGAAACAAATCAAATTTAAGAGATCAATGGCAAAGAAAGCAGGAGCAAGAAGGAAAGCTTCATACGGAGCAGGAAATGAAGTAACATTTTAACAATTGTTATGCAGGAATGGCAGCCTAGAAGCAGAAGGAAATTAGTTGAACCACTAAAACAAAGATAAGTACTCCAGTGTGCTCCTGTTATTTGGACTGCAGCTCGCCCAAAGCACCACTCAGCGCAGCCAGTGATAAGGGAATGAGAAAACTATCCTCCATAACATCTGGAGGGCACCAGATTGTTTACTCTACTCTACAATGTCTTTGATTGCATGCATATTTATCTAGAAGAAAACATGCCTAGGAAAGTTTCTCTAGTTATTTTCTTGATTTCATTGCATCAAAGTAGAAGTCACATATCATTGTAAAAAAAAGAATAACTATCCTGCTTGGTGCTAGCAAACCAATCAAATTTCTTCAGCATAGGTGTTCTTTCAACAACAACAACAATGTAAGACTTTCTTGGAGTCTGTTAACAGTTGGATCTCTACATGAAAGCAGATTAACTCCACTGCTGCACTTGTTTTGGCATCTCCCAGATAAAGAAGTTATGCAGCTTGACAAAGCACTTTGCTCTTACAAGTCTTAACAGAACCACAGAGATTTTTTTTTCCATATCTTCACTCCAACACCTGTTGCAAAGGAGACTGGGGTGGTCTCCTTGTAACTTTCCACCTTCTACTTCCACTTTATATACCTTGATCTAGTGATGCATTGTGATAACAGCATATGTAAAAATGCAATTTTTAGATGAATTTGGAGACATAAAGGTATAGAACTAGAAATAAATTTCAGTTATAAACAGAATGGGCACATGATTATATGGCTTAAATTACATATCAATTGCAGGGAGCATTTTATGAACAACCCAATTTTGCATCATGTGAGAACGAAAGTATTTGCAAGGTATAAAGGACATAGTTATATTTTTGGGGGAAAGGTCTGGATCTGCCTTCTCTAACCTGGTGCCTTCCAGATATCCAAAACCTACTTCCAACACATCTGGAGAGCACAAATTTAGAAAAAGCTGAGCCAGAAAAAAAATGATATTAGAGGGAGTTGGCTAGCTTTCCTCTATTCCACACAGGCTCTCTGGGCTAACTGGAGCATTTAATTCTGTGCTAGAGTATTTACAGGAATGACTCAATTTCCTCCAGGAAGGAAATGCAGAATTCCTTGCAGCAAGAAAATTCTAAAATAGAAAGGGCTTCTGTGCCCTCCATAGCACCCTTGCTTAGAATCAAAATCCAACTCTGTTCGAGGAGATTTTTCTCTGAAATAAGCAACGCCTGACATTGTGAGTGTTTTGTTCAAAGCACAAGGCTTATGCTGATCTGAAGAATTGAGATTTGTGGGTTTTATTTTTACCCAAAGACGTCCAAAATAACACGGATCCGACTTAAGCATACTTTATCTTCAGTATTCGTATGCCTGGCTACCTTTAGGGTTACATCGGGACTATTCTGTGATTCAAAAGGCACAACTGTGCCTTTTGCAACGTTAAGCTAGGCAACGTTTTTCAGCGATTCCCAAAATAGGGTGGACCGCTCTGACAAAGCAAAGCCTCGCTCATAAACGTCTTCTACTAGCCGTCTCCTCTCTACTCTCCACTCTTTGCTCGGCCGAGGGAAGCGTTTCTTCTCCGCCTTGCCTCGCGCACATCTGGGAGGCAGGCGCGCCGTTGGAAGAAGCTTCGCAGAACTCCGCAGCTCCGGCAATGCGGGCCAAAAAGGCCCTTTCCCTCGGCGCCACGCACGCACGCACATGCACACGCACACACCCCATCTCCTCAAGGAGAATTCGCCCGGGAGGAGCAGGGCAGGCAGAGAGACTCCAGCGCCTTCCTTGCCCTGCCGCTGGAGAGGAGCGTCTTCCTCTCTCCTTTGCAGCCATCACGAGGGGAGGAGTTGAAACTTGATCTAAGTCCTGAGCAACTCCAAGGGATTGGATCTTCCCTCCTAAGAGCCGGGAGAAGTCCCCGGCCCAAAGAAGCTTGAGTTTGTCAAAAGAACACAAGCGAACTCCGGATTGGCTGAGACGGCGTCCCCGGACCCCTCCCCTCTTGCACCTGATGAGTGGGGTATTTACTGCACTTTCCAAGGACTTCTTTGCACTACATAATTTTGCTGCATGGGGCAAACAGAGGAGGAGATGTTCTACTAGAGGACCAATGTCCCTGCAGTGATTCTTCTCTGTTCTGCTGCTCAAAAGCTGGGAACCGTTATTCCGCAGCGAGAGGAAATCCGGGAAGGGGGAAGCAGTCCTTGTGTTTCAAAATGCCACGGTCCTTCTTGGTGAAGAAACATTTCAACGCGTCCAAAAAGCCCAACTATAGTGAACTGGATACACATACAGGTAATGCCAGAGGGAAATCTGCATGGAAGCTGGAAGTCGGGCTCCGTTTGGGGTAACGGTCGTTCGGGAGTTAAAACCTCCTTGCCTGTTTGCACCAAACTGCCCGTGTGCACTTTAGCATACTTTTTCGTCCCCCTGGGCAGTGTTTTCTTTTCGTCCTATTTACAAACGTGTCAGCACCAACATTTTGAAACGTCTACCCCCCCCCCTTTTTGGGGGGAGGGGGGGCTTAGCTGCTAAAATTGCATTTGATCTTTGCTGCACAAGAGAAATTTGGAATCCTAGGAGGATCAATCTGGATTTTACTGCTGGGTTTCTTGACCAAACTGGGAGAGAACTATGGTTGGACCAAATTGGACCTCCTCTAGTTTATGGTGCACAGTGTAAAGTTTATATATATATTTTATATATATATAAAAACCTCTGTAAACCAATTGCCAATGACATGGCAATTTCATCCCTTCCCATCTCGGTAAGTCTGGGTAGTATGGCTATTATCTCCTTCATTTTCTAATGGTTTTCCTCTCTTTGTCTTCTTTCCAGTGATTATTTCTCCATACCTTTATGAGAGCTACCCAATGCCGATAATTCCACAGCCAGAAATCCTGAGTTCAGTGGCATACAATCCAATCACAGTCTGGACTACAACTGGGCTGCTGCCTTCCCCCTTGCCCAGTGATCTTTCTCCTCTTCCTGGATACCCTTCATCTTTGGGAAGAGTCAGCCCACCCCCCCATTCTGACACTTCGTCCAAAGATCACAGTGGCTCAGAAAGCCCCATTAGTGATGAAGAGGAGAGAATCCAGTCCAAGCTTTCCCACCCCCATGCAATTGAAGCTGAAAAATTTCAGTGTAGTTTATGCAACAAGACCTATTCAACTTTCTCGGGACTTGCCAAACATAAGCAGTTGCACTGTGATGCCCAGTCTAGGAAATCCTTCAGCTGTAAATACTGTGATAAGGAATATGTGAGCCTGGGAGCTCTAAAGATGCACATCAGGACCCACACACTACCTTGTGTCTGCAAGATTTGTGGCAAGGCTTTCTCTCGACCCTGGCTACTACAAGGACATATCCGGACTCATACTGGTAAGAAGGAGATACGATTTTACACATATGCGGTATAGCACTATCCAACAGTTCTTTGTGTTGACCCTACTGACACACTGACTGCTCTTTTTATCTTCTTCAGTTATTGCAGTTACACAGACATTAATTCCATTTTGGTCTTTTAGATGTTCAGTGGGCATTTTCTACTGCACCTCCCTTTAAAAAAAAAACTTTCTTATGTGAGTGGGCCAAATTTTGTCCTGCCATGACAACTTCTAGCTTCTCTGAAATTTTCAGCAAGGTGTCAAAAGGCAGGGATCCAGCTGGCCATAAAAATGCCTTGGAACATGATCCATGCAGGAATCAGAAAAGAAGCAGACACAGAGGGAATAGGAGGCAAACAGATCAAGTTTCCAAGAATCTGCACAGTCAAGAATTGTGCCCAGGCAGTGCATACAGCAAAGCCCATTAGTCAGCATATGGACATAGGAGGTGGTGTTTTTTTTTCTTTGAACATTGTTTAGAAATGAGTTTTTGCTTGAAATCAATTATTTGGTCAGATAAATGAGATGAAGACTGCAGTTGTTTCTGATTTAGGATTTGTAGCCTAAAAGGGGATCTTAAATGTTAGCTGGGATTAAGTCTCTGACCTTAAGTTTTATACAACTGTGGATATATTGAATACACAACTAATCCTAAAACAGAATACTCTTTGGTCCTGGTTTATGTAGAAATAACTCTTGTTCATCTCAGATTGTCTAACAATTCTAATTAAACTCTCCAAGATTATAATGCAGTGCATACTCATATGGCAGCAAACTCCACCGAGCACAGTCTAAGGGAATTTCCAAAGGGGATTGCCTGTATAGCTATCCAAGCCAACTGAATTCTGCATTAAATTACATAAATTCAAGCTATGGAACAGAAGCGAGCTGTTCAATTAGGTGCAAACTTTGATTCATCATGTTTTTTCATGAGACTGTGCAAGTAACATCATAGGTGAATCTATATGTTGGTTTCACAAAAGCAGAACACTAAAGCATTAAATCTGATGGGACCTCTGCCATCCACATCAACAGCATACAAATCGCAGCCTTGGGCAAAAGGCGTTGCACAGGATACAGTAAATGAATGGAGGAAACATGGAAATGTTGGGTGGAGCCCAACCTTCAGGGTGCTGGCTGCACCTGCTGAAGTAGAATAGGTTAGTGACTTGTCATTCAATGCATCATGATTTTCTGCAAGCTCTGAGTTGCCCACAATGTAAAGAAGAGAACCTTTAATGGCATTTAGAATCCACCCATCTCCTCCTTCTGCTATGCCAATAGTTTGCCCACTTAATATACACATTTCATTATTATAGCATTCAAGTGACTAAATTCCTTCTTCCCTTCTTTTCAGGAGAGAAGCCTTTTTCATGCCCTCATTGCAACAGAGCATTTGCAGACAGGTCAAACTTGAGGGCCCATCTGCAGACCCATTCGGATGTGAAGAAATACCAGTGCAAAAATTGTTCTAAAACTTTCTCTCGAATGTCTCTTCTGCACAAACATGAGGAGTCTGGCTGCTGTGTAGCTCACTGAGTTTACCTGTTTTCATGCCTTTGCCACAAACTAAAGAGACATCCACTCCTTTTCATGTATTGGTTCATCTGTTTCCCAAGAGGTGCAAAAAAAAGAGAGTTTTATTTCACTTGTTTAAGCATGATTTTTCTGTAACACAAAAGTAACCAGACATATAGAAGAAGATGCAATTGTCAAATTGATTTTTATAAGAATGTCACAGTTAAAATGACCATTCCTGCCAAAGTGTCCCAAAGAACCAAATTTTTGCTACATACCAAGTATCACAAGTACTTGTTGGCATTTTCTACATGAAGTCAGTAAATGTCAAATATTTTTTAGCATAGCGTGCTTCTTGAGTGATCTGAAATGTCTGAAAATTGCATCATTTCAAACGAACAGAAGAATGTATGTCCAGTTTGCCATGTTTTAACAAACAGAATGTGCCTTTGTAAAACTGCCATGACAAACATTTTTGATGATGATTCCTTTATTTGTAACAAACTGTTGGGCTTGTGAACTTATTGTTAAAATGGGAATAAGTGCAAGAGTGAGGGATGGGGGATAACAATGGATATCTTTAAAGCTTTATTTTCCTAATTGCACAAAGGAAATGCAATACCATGAGCAATTATCCTCAAATGAGCAATACCATTCAAGTGCCTTTTTATAAAAAACAAATTGATAGCCTTGTTTAAGGATGTAGACATAATGTAAATAATTATATTTTTATATGACAGAATGTTTTCTGAAAAAAATGAAATGTTATCTATTGCAATGTCTATAGGAATCTTGAAAAAGTGAAGCTAATTGTCTTATATTGTTTTCTAGAATTAATTTTTGTACAATAAACATTTTGGAGTAATATTTATGTAGCCTGTCACATTAGATCAAGTTAAGACTCTTGAACAAACTATATCCTATAATCATATATATATATATAACTGCAGCTCCTGTGACTCCTGTAAATAAATGCTAAGTGGCTTATTGGAGGACTGCCGAGAATATAGATTTACTCTGTGGCCAAAAAATAATCAGAAAGGGGCTGAAGTTAAAGAAATCTGGCTAATTTACTCATTGCTTACAAAACTGCTTTGAACAGTAAGCTTTGATTTTTCTCTGTTCTTTGCAGGAAAGATGATAGAATATAAGTAGAATGCTCACCAAATCTTACATCCCTGCCTCAAAATCACTACGAATTAATCAGAAATACAGTATAAAAAGCAATATACATCTTTGGTCTTCAAGAAAAAGTATAGGCCTAGCTCTACATTGGTCAATCAATGAAGAGAAAGGTTGGCTTCCTTCCAACCATGGAAAGTATTAGTATCTAGTAGAATCTCCTTACCACAGGGAGGCAATGATCTTCAATTATTCCAGCAGCCGCCTCCCAAATTATGCAGTTCAACAAAAGTCCCATTCCATCCAAACAGGTGTTCTCTGAAAAACAGGAGGTTGCAGAAGGAAAGGAGGAATTTAAAGCATTGCTTGCATACAGGCGAAAGAACTGTGTGTATTTGTGTGTGTGTGTGTGTTAACTGAACCACACAGCAAGTAGTAAAAATGTTTGCCAAACCATGTTAATGCAACCAATGAGATTGATAAATGTACATCCAAGTTACATGACATATAACTCAGCTGGTGTTTTTTTTCCTGCATTTGACTCTGTCACTAGACTGAAGCACTGACTTTGATATGGAAAAGACTAACCATTCAATTCCCTATTTTAAAATTCTATAGTCTTTTTAAAAAACATAGTTTTTACATACCATGTTAAATTGAGAAATTTTCCAGTTGAGAAAATTTATTTTTAACAACTCTTGATTAGTGAACAGTTATTAAAGAGCAATAGTTGTGCAATCCAGGATACCTAAAAGGATTTCAATGGGTTTGCAGTAGGTCAAACTTGTGGCGTCATGACAGCATCATGTGACATATTGCAACTTTTTTTCCCTTTGCTAAACCAGGCGTGGTCATGGCCAGTGTGTGACGTATCTGGCCAACGGGCCATGAGTTTGACAGCCCTGCAGTAGATCAATGTTTTTTTAATCTTGACCATTTTAAGATGGATGGGCACCAGCTCCCAGAAGGAGTTGGTGTTCATCCTTCTCCAGCTAGGATGCAGTAGATGGTTAGAAAGATGTTCCGATCTTTCAAAGTGAATGAAATGGTAATAGTGCTGTAATCTGACCAGGAAATCAGACTGAGTTGTCTCTTATCTATGGTATGCATATTTTTAGGACTGAGGCTGAAACATTACTGTATTGTAACATCAGCCTTTCCCAATTAGGTATCTTCCAGATGTGTTGGATTTCAATGTCCAGCCATCTGCTAAGTGGAATTATGGGAACCAGCATCCAATATCAGATTGGGAAAAGCTGATACGGTTTGTACTTTTTGTGCCTGCTATGTGAAATCCCACGAACAAGCACTGTATAAATCACTATAGTAGTATTCCTGATTAAATCATTGGAATGATCTGTGCTGTATGATGTAACCAACACTGAGTTATTTTTAATTACCTGATTCCAGAGGAAGTGGTTTAAGCCTAACTTTCCTCTTTAAAGCAGTGAGCATAAGCATGAGCAAACTTTTTTTTTAACTGTTTAGTTGTGTCTTTTGTGCACACTTATTTAGTATATAAAGAGTTTGTTTTTTGCATAAATTGTTAAGTCAGGGTAGAGATGAACTTAGACCTAAAACAGGATGTCAGAAATTGCACTTGAAATTATTGGCAGGGCTAGAATAAAGCAATATACCCAGGAGACAAAACAAATTTGATGTCAATTACATTAGATTAGGTTCATGAAATATTGGTTATATAATTATGCCAGTATTTTAAGTATATTCTCCTCTTCTGACCCATTAAAACTTACAGTTTAGTTAAGCATTTTGGACACACGAGGCACAGCAAAATAAATAAATAAATAGGGCAGACTCTCAAGGAAAACACAAATTGCTGTATTCCACAAAGTTTAGACTTCAGTCCCAAGCAGACCCGATCAACAGAGCTGGTGGCAATGGATTACATGAATTGTAACCTAAATTCTTTGGATGATATCACATTGTCTTCCCCTGGGCTGTACCTTTGATTTAAGTGATTTTTACAACAAACCTTACAATATATAAATCATTATTATGAGGTTTAAGATGAAATATAATAGTGTTGGAACTGAAAATTGTAGTAATGGATATGCTTAACTGATAGGATGCACAACTGGGAAAATCAGTAGAACTACCAATAATCTATTACTTCCAGGTGTATTTCCCAGTAGAATGTATCTTAGATAGTTGCTGTTATAAGGGGGAGGGAGGGAGAGAGATGCTTTGACTTCTATTATAATGAGCCTGATTGAAGGGCTAATCACAAGAGACATCAACTGCCAGTAGAAGTAGTGGCTACAAAACCTGAGGAGGGCCAAGAGGTTACCAGGCTCTGGCAACCCCCAGCAAAATCTCAATGAGTTGGATAAGCAGTTACAAACAAATGGATTCCCCCCCCCCCCCCCCCCAATTATATGACTGGGATTTCCAGGATCTGATGTCATTGTGATACAACAAATGCCATTAGCAAATCCTGTATCGGAAGTGAAAAATAACATTTTCACATATCCCTGATCAAATTACACGGCATGAATGAGTCAGGACCATGGCGTCTGCTCTGCAGGGCTTAAAAATGAGAGAGAGAAAAAATAGGTCAGTAAGTAGAGCTGATGAGACTAAAAGCAAGCCTCTGGTTTAATAGGATGGCATTTCATTACAATCACTTTTCTGATCTTATGGTGGGGGGTGTTCTAAGTGTCTGATAATTCAACAGATAATTATACCATTTGTTAGAATATTGGACTGGCAAAGGAAAAAATATTACTTTTATTCCCCAACAAATATATCAGTATATTTTAACTGCTTACTCGTTATTGTGTATTTATCAAAGCAGGAAGGATTCTGGTATCCCTATTTTCATTTATTTTAGTGTGAGAAAGCATTATTACATTTCAATTAAAAAAGAGGATGTTATGGCAAGGTGGCTCTTTATTTGACATGCACACACAGCACAATGTGCAAAATTTATTTTTGCTCCTCTACCACAATCAGTCTGAAATCAACTTATTAAACCAGTCATGGTTCTTCTGGTCTCTCCCACCAAAGCTAACTGAGCCTGAAATGATACTTCAAAATGAAAAGAATAACCTGCTGTTTCCTATGATATCAAAAGCTTGTCCCTGTTAAATGGGGTTTAGTTGAATGAAAACGCAACTTTTGGTGAGTTAAACCAGTGCTTGAGTGTAAAATCACAAATGCCTGCAAACAAAACCTCTGTTTGTTCTACCAAATCCCAGGTCTATGTGAGTTTTTGCAATATCAGGTCACAAGTCTCTGGCATTAAATCCATGTTTGCTATATGAAATCATAAACCTTTGCTGCTAAATATCCCACTTTTTTCTGAAAGCTCAAGGTAGCTTCTTTGGGACTCCTAACCAATGGTGTGATTCAACCAGTGTAACCGGTTCAGTGAGGGTGCATGCACAGTGTTTAGAAAAGACCATTTTTAGCTATAATACTTACCTTCTGCAGCCCTGTTGTAGTAAAACAGCTGATGTGTGGCAAACTGCTCTGCCACGTGAATCAGCTGTGCTCAAAAACAAGGAAATAAAGCACAGGAAAAGGGCAGGGGCGGGTAAGTGGGGCCAAATGATTACCAGAACTACCGGTCCGCCCAAACCAATCCGAACCGGTAGAATCCCATTCTTGCTCTTAACCTCTAAGCAACTCTAGCCCCATGAAGTGAGTGGCTCAAAATCTCCCCAGTGCCCTCCATCGCCAAGTGAGTACTTGAATCTGGTCCATGTTTAATATCCTCATCACTATAAGTATTAAGTATAAGTAGACTGAGGCAATTCCCCAAGGATACAAACTTAGAGGAACATAAAAGGATAGCAATTGTTAATTATTATTTCCCTTACTCCGTTACTATTGCTAGGGGTGGAAAATGATGTTTGGCAGAGCTGCCTCATATCAGAAAAAAAATGTCCTTTGATTCTTTGTGTGATGCTATTAACTGATCCATCTCATGCAGAAAAAAAAAAAAAATATTG